TCGTGTTGAATCAGCATTGCATCGCAGATATCTTTGTCTTTGTTGTTATTGAGCTTCCTTTGTCTTTGAACTTGACTTCTGAGGAAGGCTATCTGAAGAAATCCTTGCAATCTCCCCTTTGATGTCTTCTTGAAAATTTGATCTTTGATGCCGGGGGTTGAGGAATCTTCAATATCTTGCATGTAGTCCATGCCTTCCAGAAGTTGCTCTTGATCAGCTTGAATGGGGTCCGGTGGCGCCTCTAGAATGAACGTTCTTATGATTCCAGACGCGCACGGGATTCATCTGCCGTACGAGAGTATCCAACCTTTGTCTCCTCCACAGTGTAGTCTTTTTGACTATTTGGAATGAATGCATTTGAGGAGAACTTGTCGGTGGCACAGCGGAACATAATGATTGTTGATTTGTGAGTGTAGCTGACCATTTGATTTGAGTTGTAGAGATAGCAGAGAAGGTATTGATTTTTGTGATGGAGGAGTGAAGTGTCCCAGAATGATTTGTTCAGTGTTAACAGCATGTGGACCACTCTCCCCCTCATGACGATCTGATGAATCGGGACGCCATGCTTTTATTCTTTTAGTCTGCGGAAATAAAACAAGAAACAAACAGAAAGAGTAAATGATAAAAGCCCCTCGGGGTCGTGTAGACACCCGTTTTCATCATTATAGAGACAAACTCTAAAGCAATGGCCTGAAAATGTTGGTGATTCTTATGTTGCAACAGCAGGACTTCCTTCCAATCATTAGTCTTCATCTGCAATAGACGAGACCTATGGAAGTTCTCGCGGATCTTTGAAGACCTGCAACTGACTCAAAAAGTGCGTCTGTGTCCTAGAAATTTCAAAACATTTGGGAGTGAGGTAACTAGACACGACGTGATCAATGAAAGTTCAAAGGCATGGGACTGAGGCCACTGTAGTCAGTATTGCTTGCCTCGTAAGGAGGTAGTAATGAGAGATGCGATTCCCCGTGAAATATGATTAAACACATGTCTGTTGGGAGACAAGTGAGTGGTCTAAGGGTAGGGTTGTGCATGCGCCGTTTGGACAAAATGCAGCGTCTTCTACCCGGGATCTGAATAAATTCAGTCCTGAACCTGTGGGGATAGTCCAGAGTATTTGAGTGGCTAGGAGTGAATGTTCAATGGATAGTAGGCAGTTGAGGTAGCAGACTTATCAGTGATAATTATTTCCTTGCTCACTTGAGCCTTCTGCTTCCTAATGCTCATAATTTTCACTCACTCACTTGCTCACTCACTCACTTACGCTCGGCTTTGTCCCTTGGGTAGGCTTAGTTGGGTTTAGTAAGCCATAGGGACATGTTCTCTCATTACTTTCTTCATTTTCTCTCTGTACTCCCCCTCAACTGGAGCACTCGGTATGCTTTGTCATTGTTAGGCACCGAGAAGGATAACATTTAACACTCCCCCTAAAATGTTGCATCCTTTGAGAGATTCCTTGCTTTGTCGGTGTAAGGCGCCAGGAGGAGAAAACTGAAACTCCCCCTCAGAATGTGCAAGGTTTGATTGCTCACAGCTCGTCATACCCGCCATGTGTGTGGAGCAATCTGAACAAGTACCACACATGACGGTTTCCCTGAGCTCACCATGTAGAATTTCAGCATATTGATGATCACATAATGTTGATGAGTTAGGGGAGGCTTCAGCAGTTGATTGTTGATTGTTATAAGATGATCGTTGACGCGAGGTTGATTGAATTAGCTACGATTTTCGGACCTCTACGGTGCAGCTTAGACCTTAGGGTTGACACTGAAAGAATTTGAACAGATTTGCCTAAGTTTTGACCTGGACATCGGTGATTTACAATGTTTGTCGGAAAACTAACATTTTGACCTTCAAAGACTGCGAGTGAGGGCGCGTGAGAAAGGGTTCTGGGTCATAGCCCGAGAATTAATGTAGAACTTTTCGTTAGCTTTCCAACAAAAAAGGTTTGCTAAAATCGGATCACCGAGTCAAAAGCTATGGCCAAAACAGTGCGGTGTCGCAGAAAATCTCTAATTTTGAGTTTTTGAGGAATTTCTTCGAAGTTGAGGTTCTCAATGATGAATATCAAGAGCAGGTGGATTTTAAACAAAATTCTAAGGCAATACCTCGAAATCCGAATCTCGAGGTTTAAATCTCGAGATTACAATCTCGAGGTTTAAATCTCGAGATCTTAATCTCGAGTTTGCCTCGAAGAATAATGGCGAAATCCACCTACAAAACAAACCTCAGAATATCGAAATCTGCAGAATTTCAAAATGTTTGGAACCTCGAAAACTTTGGAGTTTCGAAAACATTAGAAAATCGAAAACTTGCTGTTTGAAAAACATCAGAACATCGAACACTTCTAAAAACTTTGATAGGCAGAGATTCATTCAGATATCTAAAAATGTAAAGCTTCGAAGTGTTATGAACATGAAAGATATCAAGTTTAGAAGAAATCAGTGATTCAAGAAACTCCAAACTTTGAAAAATTCAAAACATCGAGAAATTTTGAAAATCTCGAAATCTTCAGAATGTCGAGATCCAAAACATCGAGATCCCAAATGTCGAAATCCCAAAACTCGAAATTCCAAAACTCGAGGTTTCAAAACTCGAGATTTCAAAACTCGAGGTTTCAAAACTCGAGATGTCAAAACTCGAGATGTCAAAACTCGAGATGTCAAAACTCGAGATGCCAAAACTCGAGATGTCAAACTCGAGATGTCAAAACTCGAGATGTACTCGAGATTTCAAAAGTCGAGATGAGGAAATCGAGTCCCTAAATGTCGAGATCCTGCAAAATGAAAACTTCGCTTTTTTAAAATCTGAAACCTGTTCTGAAAAGTCCTGAAGGTCGAGATTCTCCTGTATCAGTTTCAAGTCAAAAACGTTTCTGCAGCAGTGAAAAAAAGGATTTCGAGATCTCAATGTAGAGATCTTCAAAATATAAAAATTGCAGAAAACGAAAAATAAGGTATGCTGCTGGATCGGTTTTGAAAGGCGAGTCCAACAGTATGATTTTTACAAAATTTCGTTCACAAACAAGATTACAGGAGCAAATCTCTACATCAAAGAAAAACAGAAGAAAAGTAGAGCAGTTCTTCGTTAGATCCAAAAAAATCGCAGATAGATCCAACCTGTTTCACGCCTCGGCTCTGATACCAATTGATAAACCCAAAATACTAAGAATCAAACAACCATAACAGTTAAGAAGAAGTAGATAGAAAGATATGTCGATATTATACACGAAACTGGTATACCGTATGAAACCCCGCTGCTCTCCCTGGAGAAGGAGAGCAGCGGAAACCCTTCTCTCTATCTCGCCTCTGTGTCTTTAAAGCCTTTTTTGATTGTTAGGGTTCCCGTAAGTTAGCCTCCTTTTATAGGAGAAGTTGGCTAACTTACGGGTTACAAGGAAGCCCCGGGGCTGATACACATTTGTGACCCGTATTACACGTTTAATTAATAACTACACAAATACAAAGATAACTAACTAGATTGAACACCATAAAATAATCCTAACAGATTCACGATTCGAATTGGAAATTGATGATTCGAATTCGAAATGTTCGAATACGAATTCGAATACGAATCAATTTTATTATTCGAATAAAATTCGAATACGAATACGAATATACATATATTAGATTCGTAAGTTATTCGAATATATTCAATTTGTATATTTATGAATTATAAATATACGATAGTATATTCTATTATATTCTATTAAAAACTCTCTAGCCCAAGGACCAAACTCACGTAGGTCTGCTAAAAAACCCTATCCAAAAAAAGCTTATGAGTTCTCCAATCGACCAACCATAGCCCACATCGTCTTCTCAAAGTGCGCCATCGCCGACAGCCGCTAACTATTCGCTTCAACTTCTTCTCCAAATGTGAGCCATCGCTAACCGTCGGTAATTCGAACCTTCATCGTCTATAATATTCGATTCTAACCATGTTTGGTGTTAGAATCCAGATTAGTTCTATTAGCTCTTCGATTACAGGTTTCTCGACCTCTTGGATTCTCTGGTTTTGGATTCTTCTTGGATTGGACGGTTCCCTAATATTTCTTTTGCTTTGCAGTTCTCAGATTCTTCTTTTACCTGACCTTCTAATTCACCAGGTTTCACATTGGCATTATGTGAAGCTAAATTGTGCATTAGGTGAATTTGAAATGTGCATTAGATGAAACTAAAATGTGCAGAACAAAAGGTACGATGTGATTTTATTTTTGTAAGCCTTATTCTGCACATTTCAGTTTCACCTAATGCACATGTGAGTTTAAATTTTTATTCTGCACATTTAATTATCATCTATTGCACATTGCGGTTTCACCAAATGCACAATTTAGTTCCACATAATTCAATTCAACGGTCCAGATTCGTTCTCATTTTTCTCCTAAGATCCGTTCTTATATATAGGGGCAGGATCCCCTAAAAACACTTTTCTAGGTGAAAAATGTGAACCCCTGGCAGCCGTAGGATATCTAGATCGTGTGGGCACAATTGATAGACATACAATAACCGTTTTTACCGGTCAAATAGTGGGATGAAGGAAAATTAAAGAAATTAAACATCAAAAATTCAAGTGGTGATCGGCAAGAATAAGTGTTAGACGTACAGTTAGGATTGGTTTTTAGTTTTCATGGGAGGGAGTGTTTTTATGTGATCTATAATCTATATATATAGATTAAATGAGAACAATGTTTAACGTGAGAACGTGAGAACACCACATTTACCCCAACGTGTTTCACAACGAAGCTTGTATATTGGACATTGTCACAATATTTACCAAAATGCCACCGTGTTATTTAATATAGGCTTAATTCGATCAAATTGAAAATGTGCAATAGAATAGCTTCATTGTGCACCACATTGATTTAAATGTGACCGTTCTCACATTAAGCATCGATCTCACTATAACCGCACCCCCTACACACACAAATATATATATATATATATATATATATATATATATATATATATATATATATATATATATATATATATTAACCTGGTCGTCAAACCACCAAAATCAGTGGAGCAAATGTCGGGTAACATTTGCCATGTTTTATTAGAAAAAAACTTAGAAAGAGTACAAAAGAAGAGGGGGACCAAGCCAAAACCTCTCCACAAACGAATAGTGCTTGAAACCTAAGATAAAATATAAGGAAACAAAATAGAGTCCAGATAAAGGGCCCCTCGTAGTATATTTGGCAACAGGTCCTCGGGCCGCCATCAAAACGGGGCCTCCCAGCCCAATTGAGCTACTATGTAAGCCACTTTGTTGCATTGGGCCGGAATAGGCCCAACTGCACTCACATAATCATGTTGGGCCAAGTAGACCGAGCTCCGCCCCAACAGGTTCGTATAAGACAGTTCAGCTTCCACCTGCGACAGCTGAAAACTCTCTCCCCACTCCAGAGCCTTCCGGAAAATGCTCTCCATCTCCTCCTAGCTCGTTGAAGACCCACTGAGTGGGAAGCCATCCACCGCTACCGCCGCTCCCTGGTGATCTCTCAAGATATAGCCTGCCGAAGACTTCTCGTATTGTCTTAATATCACCCAACTAAGCTTCATACTGTTAGTATATATGTCCTAGCGACAATCACGTTTTAGAGATATATGTACTTGATCACATTCAGTTTTATATATTTGATATATACGGTATTACACATTGATGATTAAGTATTTCGATTGTCAATATCTTATTCAAAATTGTGTTCTCTTGGACTTATGTTGTCAATAAGTAAGTGAGAGCTTATATGATATAACATAAGGTCCTAAAATAGCCCCAATCAATGATCAAGAATGGAATATTGATGATATGCAATAAGATTGGTATGTGGACTGATGTACCTTGACCATGACCAACGCTTGCACTCCAATCGGGGTAGATACGACATGTGTTAGGTGCATCACGAAGCACATGGAGTAGTAGTTGAGCCAAGAAAAGATTCATTCCTCATAATAGATTAAGAGAGAACATTCTACCTCTCATATTTAGATGGATAATAAAGTCATTGGACAATGCAAAGATATATTCGTTTTGGATATCGAATATGATCGTTATGGATCATCTAGAAAGATTGAGAGATAGAAACTAAGTTATTGGAATAGACACAGTATCATGTTCTAGACTTAGTTGAATGTTCGTTGAATGAAAGGACCGTATCACTATGAGCTCTATATTATAGGGAGTTTGAATAGTCCTCACAAACGTCCTTATATATTAAGATTGTCTGGTAAATCGTCTAGGGATTCTGCTAAGACTTTAATTTGATTAGTGCTTAATATGTAAGACCCTATGGGTCACACAACAAGTGATTATACCTTTCGATTAAATTGCTAGAAGGAGTTAAATTTTATTAATTGGATTAAATAATATTTAATTCGTAGTACTGGAAATGGATTAAATATTAATTAGATTAAACATATTTAATTCATGAAGTTGAAGGAGGGTTCTATTTGATAGAATTAATTAAGTGAAATAAATTAGATTTATTATACTTAATTAAGATGTATTTATAATTAAGTTGATATTTTCTTTTAATGTATTTTGAGATTAGATTAAAAGAAAATCAAAATAATATAATAATAATAATAATAATAATAATATGTAAAGAGTAAAGGTAGGGTGGCGGCTAAAGCCACTCCCTAACCTTTCTCTTGATACTATTTTATTATTACTACGATTATTTATTATACTTAATTAATAAATAAAAGAAATAATATTTAATATAAGGGTAGAAAGTGGCGTGCAGCCACTTCTCCCTTCTTATTAGTTTATTTATTTTATTTATTTGTTTAATTAATGGGGGGCATTGGGCCTACTTAGACTAGAACTCATTAATTAGGAAGACTTTCATTGTGATTGAGAAACTAATTTAGAACTAGTATAAATACATCCTCCTCCTTCATTATTTAGAGATCAGTTTTCTAGATTCATTATTACTAGTTTATTTCTCTGCGAAGAGATTTCCTAACCTTTCTCTATGGGAGATCTAACCGTTCGTTCAGAAAGGAGAAATCATGTGGATACCTAAGGTCAAGGATTATCACCGCTAGGCTGGAAGATCCGTAAGTTCTAACTCAGATCTGTTATTATTATCATATTCGTTGTTTTGTCATAATGAGAGAAGATCTGTTTGGGAAAATTTTAAACTTCAGCTGCTGTACTTTCGAGGTACGTTACATCAATTTCCTAACACATACGCCCTATGGGAGGTTTGGTCCACCTCCAAATCCGGGGCTTTTCCAAGCCAAAACGTTCAGGTAATAAGCTAGCTTCCCTAATTCTCGAGCTTCCCCATAAATTATCATTTGCGTAGCACCAACTAACCATGAATTTTATAATTTGTGCAATAATTAACTGAGAATCTGGAACTACCCCTTTCCAAGTAGCATCCCAGTAAGCCTTCCAGATATGCCAGACAATTACTCCAGGCAGCACTACGATATAGGAAGCATCCAAGGTCTTGCCTCTTCCTGAAATCAGCCATTTCCGGATTTGAGACTTGATCTCGCTAATTTGTCTTTCTTGCATTTGCAGAGAGCTGTCAAAGAAATTCCAGACTGCACGAGCAATGGAACACCCAAGGAGAACATGGTCCTGGGAAGCAGTATCTGAAAAACAATAAGGGCAAACAGAAGGATAAATGGTGCTGAATCGTACCAGCGGTTCCGTGAAGGGTAGCCCTTTGTGCCAAAGAAGCCTTAGGAAGATTTTGATCTTAGGCACCTGCTTTTATGCCAAATGTAAGAATAAGTTAGCCCCCCCCCTGCATGATGGCCTTGTAAGCAGATTTGGTAGTGAATACCCCACCCCCTCCCTTGTATGCTTCCATTTGATGGGGGTTTGACCTCTGTCAACCAATTGCTCTGCCTCTTGGTTGATCTGGCAGATTCTCCCCCAGGTTGGGGAGTCAAGAGGCTTAAACTACCCCAAATTCCTCCTCCCATATTTACTTCTCATAAAACCGGCCCATGTAGATACCCCAGTTTGAAACTCCCACAAGAGTTTTATAGCTGAAATTTTTTGAGACTGCAAAATTGACCTGATACCCACCCCTCCATCCTCGATAGGTCTACACATCTTTTTCAGAGAAATCCAGTGATGCTTGGGCTTATTCTCCTTGAAACCCCAAAAGAAGTTTGATTTTTTTTGTTAATGATGTGTATGGCCGAAGGTGAGATGCCTATAACCGCAAGTATATGTAACAGGATAGAGCTTAAAACACGCTTAATCAGAACTAGCCTCCCCCCAGGATAACAACTTTTGTCCCCAAGACAGTAATTTATTATCAAAACTCCGAATTAGCTCCTTAACGTGAGCTAAACGAGTGGTGCCTTTGTGAATCTGCACCCCTAAATATTTAAAAGGTAGCTTAGTATTTTTCATCCCCAACTCATGTTTGATACGAGCAATTCTGCCTGCCGTAGTGTGTTTGCCCGCCACAAAACAGCTCTTATCCTTGTTAATTAGCTGCCCGGTTGCTTTTTGATATAAATGAATGAACTTATTAAAGTTTCGTATAGATTTTGCAGACCCATTAAGAAAGATCATCAGATCGTCTGCAAAAGCTAGATGAGAAACGTTAAGAGCTCTTCCCATATTAAAAGCCCCAATACTCCCCTGTAGAATCAAATCTTTATACCCCCTAGAAAGAGCCTCTGACATTATAATAAACAATAGAGGAGACAGGGGGTCCCCCTATTTTACCCCTCAGTGTGGCTTAAAAAACCCATAGGAAACCCCATTGATGATAATAGAGATATAGGTGGACTGTAGATTACCCATAATAATCCTCCTGAACCGCTCTGAAAAACCAAACTTCTCCAAGATAGCATCCAAGAAACCTCAGGCAACCCTATCAAACGTCTTAGCCATATCAAGCTTGATAACCAAATTGGAGCCATGCACCTTCTAGTCAATATGATGTAATACCTCAAAATCCGTCAACACTTGATATTGAATCTCCTTCCCTTTCATGAAATCTGCTGATTCGTTGGAGACGATTCTAGGCAATAGATTGGCCATGCTAGAAGCAATAATTCTGGTATTGATCTTACTTAGAAACGTAGAGAGGCAAATAGGTCTAAAATCTCCAAAAGAATTTGGATTTTTTCCTTGGGAATTAACACCATATTCACACTCTCAACCCCTTTAGGAATAGCCACTCCCAAAAAGAACTCATGCACTACCATCACTATATCTTGCTTAATAATCTCCCAACAACCCTTGTAGAAAGAACCTCCAAACCCATCCGGTCCAGGAGCTGCTTCTTCGCTTAATCCCCAAACTGCATCTCTCACCTCCAACTCATTAGGCAACATAATTAGTCCCATGTTCTCCTCCTCAGACACTAACTTGGGAATATGTTTAAGGACTTTGTCATCTGAAGAGGTAGGTTCAAAATGGTAAAGATTTTCGAAAAAACGCACTGCCTCCTCTCAAATCTCCCGCGAATTGTAAATCCAATCCCCATCTTCATTCTTTATAGCCCGAATAAATTGCTTCCTTGTTTTGTTTTTCACCATAGCATGAAAGAATTTTGAATTGGCATCTCCCTCCTTAAGCCACTTTATATTAGCCTTCTGCCACCAAAAGATGTCTTTCTGCTTGACTTTTTTAAGCAAAAGGGCCTGTTTATGATGGCAAAGTACTCTAGTCTCCTCGGTCGGGTCATCCTCAAAAGCCTTTTCTGCAACCAGTGCTTCTTGTTCAAATTTTTTAACTTCCCCAAAGATATCTCCAAAAACATCTTTGTTTCAAATTCGCAAGTCAGCTTTAAGTAAACGGAGCTTGAGGCACATCCCACACATCCCCCCAATCCTAGGGTATTCTTCCCATTTTGTTTTCACAAAAGCAAGAAAATCCCTATTAGTAAACCACATGTTTTGAAAATGAAATTGCGACGGTCCTCTGACCGCGGGCATCTCACAGATGAGCATGATAGGGCAATGATCAGAAGAAGCTTTGCTCAAATGTTGAACGTTAACATTCTCAAAACCATCCAGAAAAACTTGATTTACCAAGTATCGGTCCAGCTTTTCCCAAATCCTTCCATTTGACCGTACACCCATCCAAGTGTATGTGGAACCAAACATAGGGAGTTGCATGAGCTCACACGCCTCAGTTTACTCCTAGAAATCTAACATATCCCCCATTCGCGGCGCCGAAGGCCCTTTATATTCAGTAGGTGAAGCTACAATATTAAAGTCTCCTCCTAATAACCATGCACCTCTATCATTCTAAGCAAAACTTCTCAAACCCTCCCAAAGTTGCTCCCGCTCAGTACATGTGTGTTTTCCATATACTGGAAAAAAGAGAAGGAGAAATCAAGAGGAATATACATCACCTTAATCATCATAAATTGATCTCTATCCACAATAGAGATTACGTCAAAAACCGTAGTGTTCCACATAATCCAGATCTTATTTGTAGCTGACATGGACAATTTTGTAAATCCCAAACTATTTAAATAGACACTTCCATTTGATGAGTTAACGATAGGTTCGATGATAGTAACAAAATTAATAAAGTACTGCCTAACAAAATGATGTAGTCTTGGGCAAGCGGAAACAAGACCACTCACATTCCAAGTGAGCATTTTCATAAAGAAACCTCGGAAGAGCCTTCCATGTTGTTCCTCTTGGCGCCAACCGGGTTGTGACTGATCGAGGAGGAGCCTCTTTGATTTTTCTCCGACCTACCACCCCCAACACTTTCGCTTGTTCAGTTTCCATCAAAGCCACCTTCTTTTTTATTTCACCACAAATAGATTTCTATATGTCTACAGTAATCACATCAATATCAACATGTTCCCCATCTGAAACTACCCCTTCCACTACTATTTTACTCCCTACATTGAAATCATTTCCTTCCTCAAAGGAAATCAACTTGGTGACATCACTTGATGGCTTGATATTAACACATTCCCCCAACCCTACTGCCTCCAGCATGTGTCCTTCCTCCTCCTCCAAAATTTGATCTTTCTCAACCCTCTTCTCTACGTCATCTACAACCGTAGCCAACTCTTCTTGATGGCTCACTGCCTCAACTTCAACGGCAGCTGCCTTCACCGGGTCTCCTTTGTCAGGATTACCCCGAATCCCTTGAGAACTATCAAATTTCTCATTTTCTGTCACGACAACCACCTCCTTGCCTACAGATTCTGGAACTGTCGCTTTCTCTGATTTGACTCTATTTCCTCCTTCCCAAATAATTAAAGTCGAGCCTATCTCTCTACGCTTAGAAGATTCAACCTTATCTTTATCTCCCAACACCACTTCTTTGCCCTTATTCTTCCGCGAGACTTGAACCCATTCTTCAGAGGATTTTTTCTCATGTTGGTGTGGTTGTTTAGTCAAAAGCTTTTTGGGTGCTGGCATAACGAATCCCCCTTCCACACGCATTCTAGGAACACCGCATTCCTCCTTAGTGTGTCCCAGCCTACATCATTTGGTACAATAGCTGGGCATATCCTCATATGTCACAGCTTGTAAAATTTCCTTGCTACCATTCATAATAAGAATTTTTGAGGGAATCTCTTGTAACAAATCCAACTCCACACAAACCTTTGCAGTGGATGGTCTCGATAGGTTTGCTGTTGCAGCATCCACCTTAAGGGGCTTGCCAATCATCTCTGCAATGGAAAAAAAGTGCTATTTTGTCTTGCAAATGTAGTGGAAGTCCATCCAATGTGATCCACACCGGTACAATAGGGGATTCGACTTCCAGCCGAAAATACGGCGTCCACCTTGTAACCCTCATTCGGAACCCACGAATACTCCAAGTTTGACGCACCCAGCATCGCTGGAAATCTTCATCAGATCCAAACTTGAGCAGAATATGTTTTTGATCCAGCAGCCCTAATGATATGGATCCATGAGCGAATCGTCGCCATTGCAGGCATCCCTCTAACAAAAGATCCAACCAAAGCAAACTTGTGCTGAGCCGCCAAGGTAGCCACTTCCTCCTCCGTGAAGCAGATAGCGGGCATACCCCGATACCTAAAAGGTTCCTTCAATGGGATGTCCTTGTTGGCCGCTAGAACTTCCGCAAAAGAACGTACTGCCGCTCCCGACCCTCCTGCCGGGGCGACCCATGCTGTTGGCGCAACCATGCTGCCTACATCGCCAGAGCTCTCACGCTAGGGTTTTTTTTATCATAAATAATTCCAGATAATAAATATATAAGTAGATATAATAATTGTATAACTAATTTAAATAGATATGAATAATATGATATGTATATTAATAGGTGTAGAGAAAATGAGAAAATTGGAGAAGAATAGAAGATGAAGATGGAGAATTGGAGATGATTAAAGAGTATTAGAGAGTAGGAAGATTTGGACAATATGTGTAGAATTTTTTTTAGAAATTAGAAGTATTTATAGTTTTTTTACCCGAGCCCCACCCCCACTCCCTAAACCCACCCAACCCCAACCCCAGGAGTCCATGGACACCCTACATAGCCTTTATTAACGATTTAAAAAATAAAATAAAAATGTGACCGTTGGCCTAGACCGGTCCTGAACCGACCAGACCGGTCACCATTTCATTGGACCCGTAGCCTGCCCCCCAAACCCCATTTCGAGCCCCAACGCCCAATCCCTGGACCGGTCAGCCGATCCGGTACCGCACAATGGCGGTCTGGGCCAGGTTCCAGGCCGGTCAGAATTGGATCGATCCATCCCTAGAGACAAGCGTTTAGTGAAATCGAAACGTCCTAACCGATTATAGAACAAGGTTGAGCGCACAACCTCATGGAGGAAGCAACACCGATCACAGAAGCAGGAGTTCCAAAAACTAGGAGATTTATGCAACCCTTCTCTATTGTTGCTTAATTTTTTTAACAAATACGGAGTACTTATTTACACACATAATTATATTTGATAATGTGGTATGTATATTCAATTTTTTCTTTACTTTATTAATAATATGTATCTTAGATATAATCTTTTTATGATTCAACAAATTCAATTAATTCATCCGCTTCAACTAGAATTTAATCATCAACTTCAGCACAATCAATCAATTCAACCAATATCAGTGTTATCTGTTATCAAACAGAATCAAAAAGTAGATGTGTGATTGCCCAGCACTACGAAGGTAGTTGAAATTTCCATTTTCAGAGCACTTGAGGAAATAAAAGAAAACTGTGGATAGCATTCGAGATGAAAAAGGATGACCTTTTTTTTACCATGTCAATTTAAGAGTGCTTGTGATGCAAAAGTAGAGGGAGGCAAAGTCCCAACTTGATATATTGATCCTAGGCATGGACCGGGACCAAGGCGGGCCAAGGCGGGCTCCAAAAATTTTTTTTTGGGTATTTTCGAATTAATTCTAACCCCCCATCCCCAAACCCCCACCCAAACCACCCAACTCCACCCACCTAGCAAGCAACCCCCTGTCCCCCCATCCCTCCCGGTTTGGGCCCCCAATCATGGTACCGGCTGACCGGGCCAGGTCAGGCCTGCACAGTACCGGGCCGGGTCTCGGGTCAGGCTGACCCGTCCCGATCCATTCGTACTTGATCCCATGAAAGAAGCCAAAAAGGGAACCTCATGTTCTAATTTTCCAACATGTTAAAAGCTTTTTCTGTTTATAATGTTTGACTCGTGATAATGTAAACTCTTCCCTAATAACACAAAAATTAGTTTTAGTAATTACAATTTACATTTCTAGAAACTATCCTAAAAATTCATTGGAACCGCAAACACAAATTTGAATAAAACAAAATACTAGCACAAAATACTAGAGATTATGTAAATGTGAAATTACTCTAGGAATTGTAAAGGTGAAGTTTATTTAGGAAAAAGGAATGATAAAAATATAGTCACTTTGTTCTGTAGATGGGATAGATGACCCTAAAATCTCTGCTCTGTCACCACAACTGGCTGAGTTTCAGCATGCTTTATACCCAGGTAAGGACCGCTTCTAACAGCTTCCTCAAGCTATGAAAACATCACCAAGATTGTCTTATCACACAATTAGGCAAATGAGAAGAAAAAAAACTCAATTGTTTCCTATTGAAACGAATTGGCCAAGATCCAATGTGCAAGCAAATAGTCTAATGTTTATTATTTCGTCCAAGTAACAAGCAGACAAAAAAGTTTAATCCCCAATTTATATACTCCCTTCTTCGGTGCAAACGAGTCAAACCGCTCATGAGCTAGTCATGAGCCGTTTGGTCAAAACTCGACTTGAGTTCGGTCAAACTTGAACTTGGGCAGTAAGCAACCGAGCCAAGCCTGAGCTCAACTATTTTAACTCGTGAGCTTGCAAGCCTTAACATATACGCTCTATGTATTCTTTTGTTTGCTACAATTTCCCTTTTTCATAAGTTTTCCTTAAATTATTTTTCATACCTTTCCACCCTCTCCTTTTCCTAAACTATTCATTATCCATGCTACTTTTCTCTTAAATATTGTGTCAAACCCTATGGTAGCAAACAATAGAATATGAAGGGAGTATACATACATATACACACACCCACACATTATATCTCTTTATTTATGTTTATTTTTTATATATTTCAAAATTTAAATGATAGTAAAATAAGAGGTAAAAATGCCAGTAAAGGAGAGAGGAACTAATAAAAATGAGAACAATAAAATACAAATATTATATATTATTTATTTGCGTGTATAAATATAATATTAATAATTTTGAAAATAGAAACTTTATTTTTAACTCAAGTATTGAATTTGAGTTAAAAATTCATACACGCAAATAAATAATATCTAATATTATTAACTTGAGCTGAACTCCAACCGAGCCCAAGTCGAGCTCGAGCCAAAATTATTAGGCATGTTTCAGCTCAAGCTCAAACTAGTGCATTCTTAATTTCTTATCAAGCCCAAGTTCAAGAATGATCAAGTTCGAGCTCGTTTGCACCACTACTCCCTCCATCCCAGAGAATCCCATTTTACCATTTTAAGTGTCTCCAACTGATAATCCCATTTAATCATATGGAAAAATATCTAATGTCAGTCCATTTTAACCTTCTTTATATTTTTTGAATTTCCAACTTTACCATCCTATTATTGGGTAAGAGAAACTTACGAGCAAAGCAAAATCTACCATGCTGTAATCTTCATATAATCCTAACTGCTATTCAAACCACCTCACCAGATCAAACACCGAGTTCAACATCTGATCTTTGAGAACCCAAACCCTAATCGACAAACAAAAGACTGACTACCTCAATCTTCCAGGAAAGAAACTATTCGCAGATAGAGGGCCAAGTTGTTCAGTTAAGATGGAGACAGAGGCAAGAAGTCACTCTGTTCGGCATAGATTATGAGGCTAGGCACCATGGATTAAAATATGTGCTGAAAGTGGGCTCTTTGATCTAGACAAAAGCAACATGACAAAGGGGCAAACGAACTATTCTGGCATTCCTGAGTTGAAGAAAAGACGGAAATTGGAGATTTTGAGTGAAATGGAACAAGAGGTTATAGAGGATGGATAGGTTAAAGATAGGGGGTGAAGAGTTGAGCTGGGAGGAGTGTGATGAGTAGGTCAGGTCAAGAAAATGAGGATGGAGAAGAATTATGTGATGAGGGTAAAGCTGAATTTTAATACCTTCTATTAATTTTTGTGCCATAAAGTTTGGGACTATATAGGAAGGAGCATTTATACAAGAATGCACCATCACCAACACGACTTTTTATTAGCCATAAAAGCTGTACTGGATTTCTGATGGGTATAAACATATAATAATTTTGAGATCATGAAAAGTGTACCTTGATAGCTAAACTACAAAGTGAAGGGTCACTAATTAGTTTACTAGAGGTGAAAGCCTTGTATATTGCCTGGCAACACTTATGTCGAGCTTCCATACCTAAAAAAAGGTAAACAATTTCTAAATATGTTAATGATTAGAAACATCTTAGTATTATTCACCATAACCCGATTTAATGTAGCTTATATATACACCTATCTTTTGGGTTTCCGTATATGTGTTAGTCACAATATCTACAGTTTCTTTTCGATAGAGGATCTCCATCAGGTACCATGGTCGAACCACCAACCCTGTGATGACTCGATAGCCCTATAAGTTTGAGAGTTGAGATTAAAACGAGTTAGACACATCTGAGAGTTGAGATTAAAACGAGTCAGACCCAATCATAAAATTGATCTGAGAATTACACGATCTTATACTCTATTTATTTTTACTTGCTTTACTACTCTTTTTTACTGAATTTAAGAATGAATTGCAGGGATAGTCAGTACTATAGAAAAAGTGAAAACGCACAAGTATAGATGATAAAGAAGGAAACAGAAAATTAAAACGTAAAGGGTATTTGTGTCTTTTGAATTTTGATACATTTATATTTCCAATAAATAAAAGTGAAACAAGTAATAATTAACCTTCATTGAAGGAAAGTGGAGCATGTAGAAATACATAGTACAAAAAAAATATAAGGTGGGGGCTAAGAAATACAAAAGTTGGAAAGAATGGGAGAGTGTCATGAGTAGGTCGGGAGGGAGTAAACACAAATATTTGAGTATATTGTTAGGAAAGAATGAATATAACAACAGCTTTCACCACAAATAACAACTAAAAGCTAAAACCACTCTAGGAGTTATCTGCATAGTACATGCATCAATAGATTTGTAAAAGGCACCATACACAATGTAGGAAAAATAACAATGTGCTAAAAATCGTTGAACATGAGCACAAACACCTTGAAAGCTCATCCATATCATGCATATGATACTAAGATCTTGTAGAGATATTAATCAAATCAGATTGTACATACGAGATGTAATTTGACATTTTGATATCAAGAGCTATGCAAGGCCACTTTCTATAAGATTCACAAAATAAAAAAAACACACAGAAGATGAATACCGAATCAATTTCTATGCAACCAGAAATGATGTACTCACAGCAAGACGCATTTCTGAATCCTGTTGAAGAATTGAGAAGAGAATGCCCTGCCACAAGCAAATCTTCACTAATTGATCAAATTATAATGCAGTTAACGGTGAACCTAAAGGCAATAATCATAATAAAGCTAACTTTCTGTGTTTAAAGAAAGACCCAAGGACATAATGAAAGTGCAATTATGATCACTTGGTTTTAAGATACATGTAATATAGCAGCACTATGTGATTCAACAATATACATAACTATTTGAGCTGGAGGCCAAAAAAAGTATGCCGGCTAGGACAAGAATAGTGCATAAAATTAGCATTTTTTTTGTCTTATAACCAAGCAATATTTTGTGTATGTAAAACGAAATAAAACATTTACTAACCGCAGCGGTCAATTTAGGAGTCCTCGATGATGTCTCATAGATCAAACATCGTAGTGACTGTTCCGCATCGCTATCTAGCAATACGTCATTTCCAGAACGACTCTCCCCAACAATGTTTCCAAGGGCATGCAGTGCAGCCTATATCATGCATTTATTAAAACGAAGTCTTAATTTGTATCAAAAGCTTCCCCCGTCAAGGACAGAAGACAGACTAAGGGTTTTATGCTTGAAAAAAACAAGGGTTCTTACCAGCTGTATACCATGTTGTTGGTGATCAAGAGCAGCATTAATAACATACCTTCCTGGAGAAGGTGAACTTGAGAGTAGCAAAGCTGCTCCTTTGTTGGCTGCAGTACCATGTAATAGGAAACTAGTAATGAGTTTTCGTAATAATTAAAATAAACGACAGGAGGTATTTTCCTTTATAAACCCTCTAGCAACAAGGCTCCCCCTGCAAGCATCTACTTTTATGAGAATTTGAAAAAAGAAATTACTATAGTTAATAAATGGCCTGTAATATACTGTTTCAATAATGCATAATGACAAACAATGTCTTGGTTTTATCAAAGGAAAATACTTTACTTACATGAACCGATTTGACCCAATGCTTCAAGTGCACATTCACTTTCATCGGCATTTTCACTTTCCAGTAAAGCAAACCTCCTGTCGATGGCTGAAATGACATTTCTATAACCTACACAAAATAAAATTCTCAATTAATAGCCACTTGTAGTTATTATTATAAGATAACTATAAGATCAATGCAAGCATTCCACTTAAAGAGTGCAGCTTTCCAAAATCACTGCCTACATATTTCAAATGAGAAACATAACTGCTCAAGGGAGTCAAGGCTTTTGATGCGTCTTAAATGGACAATTTCTCATGCTAGCGATTTTTTCTTGAAAGAATTGCATAAATATTACTTATGGAGTTTGCATAGACAAAAATATGACCAATTTACATTTGGACAAAAATGTGACCATTTAAAATATCTTTCCTTTCTTCCAGGCCAACCAACCCGTCGATCTCTCTTCCCACGCCCCGAGTCGTCTTCTCTCCTCACACGATCTCCCTTCCTCTCTGAACAGGGTTGGAGGCTTCTCTCATCGCACGGCCATGGCGTCATCCTCTCCGGCACTCCAAGCCACCAGTCCTCTCTGCTGCATCTCGACGGAGGTTCGTAGACCTTCTTCAGGTCAGAGACGACTACCAAGTGACCAGCCCACTATTTTCCTTCTTCTCCTTTCTTGACCGCAAATCACTGCCTTGCCTTACTGTCGGGATTCCAGATCGATTTTGGGGGTTTTCCTTCCTATTTTCAGATCTGAGTTCCAGATCGAATTTGGCTGGGGCGAGGCTGGAAGGTAGGGCGAGACTTGAGGGGCTGTGGTGCGGCATTGTAGGGTGTGGCCAGGGTGCGTCGTTGCTGGGCGGGGCTGGGGGAGGGTGCTGTGGGGCTGGGGAGATGAGACTGGGGCCAGAGAGATGGGGGTCGGGATGGGGGCTGGGGAGGGGGCTTAGGGGATGGGGAGGTGGCTGGGGGCTGAGGAGGTGGCTGGGGAGGTGACTAGGGGCTGGGGAGCCAAACTGGGGGTGGGGCGATGGTTGGCGGTGGTAATCTGCGGTGATAATTGGCGGCGGCGGAACTAAGGCGGAGTAGGCTGGGGATGGGGCTGAGGGGACTGCGAGCAGCAGGGGAGGGATGGGGAGACAGCGTGTCACTATGCCGGAGTCGGTGTGTCATTGTGGCTGGAGTCGGCGTGTCACTGTGGCCGGTGGGCGGGCGGTAGACACCGTGGAATGGAGTCGCTATGGTATTGTCACTGTAAAATTATCATTGTGGTGTTGTCACTGTAAAATATCATTGTGCTGGTGTCACTGTAAAATTGTCACCATAACATCGTCACTGTAGCAGGCTGTAATTGTCTTATTAGTACTTTCAGTCACAATTTTTTGGAAAATTAAATAATGGTCACTTTTTTGTCAATTATCCACTTATTAGTAATATTCAGGTCAAAACCCCCTTTTTCTTTATATTTGTTGAAAAAGATCCTGAGAAATAATAGGTATGTTTTCTATTGGACTGAGATTTGTTGGTCTTGTCTGATCTGATCTCGTCTGTTTAAATCTGATATGGTTTGGTCTGGTCTGAGCTGGTTTGGTAAACGTCTGGTCTCCATGTGCTTTATAATTGTTCAAGTCTGGTCTGATCTGGTCTGTTTAAGTCTGGTCTGGTCTAATCTGTTTAAGTCTGGTCTGGAACTGAAAACAATCCAAAAGAAAACATCCTAGGAACTAAATACCTTTTCACCCGGTTTATGTATACGTTACAGATGCATTTTTGTGGAACCAGCGGGAAGTTTAATTAGAACAGTTTAATTAGAAGAGGGGATTTACCCTGATGCTATTTTTATATTTTATGTATTACTTCCTATTAGGAATAGAAGTATTAGAGGTTACAGTTTATATTAGATTAGAACTCCTATTAGGAATAGAAGTGTTAGATGTTATAGTTTCTGTTAGATTAGAACTCTATCATGTAAAGGCAGAATGCCTATTTATATTCCGTTTTCAGCCTTAATAAAATCATTGATCATTAGAAGAATTAATCCCAGAGAGAAGTCACGGACTTCCCACCTTCCCCTGCGCTCTTCCAGCCACGAGCAAGAAGAGGAGTAACCCTAGCAGGCAGGTTACCATCTCAACCGGGTACCCTGCTACCCCAAGTCGTCCCTGGACCCATTCTCAGTCCAAGAACCCTAACAATTTGGTATCAGAGCCGTCACGATCCATGGTGCCACAGAATGATGATTTAACCACCATGATGAAGGATAAATGGAAACCACAGTATGTGAAGATGGAATTTCCTGTGTTTGATGGCACCTACGACCCTACCAGTTGGTTGAAAAGGTGCGAAAAATTCTTCTTAAACGAAGAAACTTCTAGTGTTGCAAAGATGAATATGGTCTCATTCCACTTGATAGATAATGCACAACTGTGGTTCGATCGGATGATAGTGGAAGAAGGAGAAGTCAACTTGGAGAGGTTTAAAGAACTCTGTCTGGAGCGCTTTGGGCCCCCTTTGAGTTCTAACCCGATTGGAGATCTTAAACTTCTGATGCAGATCGAATCAGTTGATGAATATTGTGCCCAATTTCAGAAGGCCTTAGCAAGAACTTCACAAATACAGTCCACCCGTCAGATTGCTTTGTTTGTCGCCGGTCTCCATCCCCACTTACGGGCTGATGTGGAGATAGCAAAACCAGGCAAGGCAACCTGGGTTACGCAATGAACCTGCATGGACATTGGAAGCAAGGCAAACACTTATGCTTGCACCTGTAAAAGTCTCGCGTACTACAACAGATATGAAACAACGCAGCCCTCCATAGCTTAGACAAACGCTTATGACAACAAAGACAGGAAATCCCATTGTTAAGTGACTCGCGAAGGATGAAATGGCAGAAAGATGAGCAAAAGGGCTATGTTATAATTGTGATGAACAGTGGACGACGAATCACCGATGCAAAAAGCTTTTCTTGATCGAGATAGAAGATGAGCACGAATAAGATGATGGCTTCCAAGACTTGGAGTTGTCTGCCAACGCTATAAGTGGAAGTATTAGTTCAATGGCAAGGCAGCACACCAGACAAGGCCACTTGGGAACCGTTTGACACTTTTATCACTGCTTATCCAGGATATGAGCTTGGGAACAAGCTCAGTTTCGAGGGAGGGAGTGATGTTACGGATGCATTTTTATGGAACCAGCGGGAAGTTTAATTAGAACAGTTTAATTAGAAGAGGGGATTTATCCTGATGCTATTTTTATATTTTATTCATTACTTCCTATTAGGAATAGAAGTATTAGAAGTTACAGTTTCTATTACATTAGAACTCCTATTAGGAATAGAAGTATTAGATGTTATAGTTTCTATTAGATTAGAACTGTATCATGTAAAGGCAGGATACCTATTTATATTCCTTTTTCAGCCTTAATAAAATCATCGATCATTAGAAGAATTAATCCCAGAGAGATGTCACGGACTTCCCCCCTTTTTCTGCGCTCTTACTGCGCTCTTCCAGCCACGAGCAAGAAGAGGAGTAACCCTAGCAGGCAGGTTACCACCTCAACCGGGTACCCTGCTACCCCAAGTCGTCCCTGGACCCGTTTTCAGTCCCAGAACCCTAACAGTATAGTTGTATACCCATTTGATAGGTCTATTTGGCTCACCTTATGACCCAACATCCTGCCATTGTTCTAACGCAACTTGCTCCTTTTTTGTTCATCATTGGTGATTTCATTTTTTTAAACACCAATACACCATAATTCACAGCTTCACATGACCTTTTAAGGGAAATTAAACATGCAAAGACTTTTGGAGTTTTGCATGCAAGCATAAAGAAAGAAAGAAAAAAAAGAAAGGGTCTGTATCTTACTGGATTCATCAATGAACACAAATGCATTGTCATTTGATAGCAACCTTCCTGTTATTGTCAATGCTCTACATCTCAAGATTGAATCAGTGGAGGCATTGCTACAGAATAAGAGAAGAGACTCAAGAGACAACAAAAACTCATGGTAAAACAAAATAACATCTAACCTATATCACTAAAGAAAGTATAAGGGAAGCACCAGCGAGCCTCCATAACTAGAGTATTGTGTAAATGAACTCAATCACTAAACTACCCCAAAGAAAGAAAGAAAGGCACAATGAATAAAAATTGCCGCAAATGTACCTAATTACTGAACTAAGTAGATGAAGAAGTGTAGTCCTCGACAAGAATTCCATGCAATGCTGAACTTCAGCCAACTTCATTCATCAATTACATGTCGAAAGAACACATTAAAGATAAATGGGGAATTTGTTGATTGAGTATTCGAGTCAAACTAATGTATAGATCCCTTTAGTCTTGCTAGAGGTGCTCTAAGTGTGTTTTACAAAGTAACTTATTGTAAAGTTAGCATGTACAGATACAACGATATGTAACACCTGGGATGACATGAAAAAATGCATATCTCAAATGAAGCTATAAGGAATGGAACTAAATATGACATGACATGTAAAAGGCAAACCTCATATAGAAGTTCTAATGCGCTTAGTGTTACAAGTGTATCATTAGCATTCCTAACTTCTTTCTCCAACAAGCTAAGAAGATTAGCACTGTAGACTTTTGCTGCCACAGAGGTCGAAATAGAAAACAACTTCACAACCAATGCAAAAACTCGAACTCGTCCCTGAATTATTTTGTAGAATTTATTACAAACTCAAGGAAATAGAAAATTTACTCAACGTAATATCATATGGATTATTGAATTTAGGGAAGAGGGTCAAATAAGGCCTTCTACTATTACGGAATCATCACATAATGTCATGTACTCAATAAAGTGTCATATAAATATGTCTACTTATAAAAAGCAATTCCGATTTTAGCTTACATGCTGTTATTTTTGCCTTGTATTTAAGCCAATCTTAGCTAAATATTCCACATCACCCTTATAATCTGTTTTGAAAAGATAGTCAGGTGTACGCTAAACTGGGATTACGAGGTTGTCAAAAGGTCGTTAGAACTCATTCGATTGCTTTTTATAAGTAGATGTATCTATATGACATGGCCTTATGTGACGATATCATAATAGTAGAAGACCTTATTTGACCCTTTTCTCATGAATTTATAGAGCAACATGTTGTACAAAGGATAATATTTAGTATTTCATCATCCACCCTCTCCCAAGTGCAGACATTTTGCACTAACATAAACGCAAAATGACAAAATTAAGTATCATTGAGTTTACCAGTGAAGTAGATTTCGCGGCCAAATCTCCAAGATGTGTGTCACTGCTAATCACTGGAAAGATAATATCCTGCAAGAAAACATTTCTTCAGAAAAATCATCAGAAGCTTGATATAGAACTCCAACCACATTGACCAAATGAGAGACATAACAAACATACTAAGCCTTTTGGAAACCCAGCTAAATTCTTAACTGCATCAGTCGCTGCTGCTGCAACTCGTTCATCCCTGAAAGTAGCCAAAGGATCAATTTCAAGAGACTGAGAGGGAAGAAATGAAGTCATGAGATAATTCTTGGAAGCACAATACTTCATTAATTAATTACATGATTGGGTGATGATCAATAGATTAAATATTCTTAGGGCATGGGGGCAACCCCCGGCTTGGATGGTCATTTCATAGGACTTAAGTCTTGGGGGCAATCCTAAGGTCTTAAGTTCGAATCCTGCAATGGGAGTGATTATTGTGACCTCCCCAAGCTGTGAGCCGGTCAGCTATGGGCAACCTAGGCTGGTTTACCTCCTTGTGGTCCTTTGCCGGCTAGGGAGTAGGGTCACAAGGCTCCGGATTAGTCTCGGGTAACCGAGGATACCGGATGTCAATCAAAAAAATATATATATTCTTAGGGCATCAAAAATATTGAATTAAGACCATTTGTAGGGTTGTTGCTCTCACTAAAGAAAAAGCTTTCAGGAAAAGATGATTTGTTCTCACTTTGTAAGCAAACCACTGCAGTGATCTTTTACAAATTTAAGAACATTGTCTAGCAACAACACATGCGCAAGGAGCAAACTCTAAGGAATTAATTCAGTGAAAAAGCGATTACAGTTCTATAAGGGAATATATTACAAGACAGATAACCAATTATGAGTGAGCAAAGATTTGGCCAAACAGAAGAGATTATTCATAAAATACCTTACCCATCAATGAGGCAAGTAAGCAATAAAGGATATACACCATACTGGAGAATGAGACAAACACCAGTAGCTTCATCAGCATTATCCAAAAGGCAAGAGACCTGCTAACAAAAAATAGTCCACCATGCAAGATTCTATCGAAATATGAATTCTATGATGGTCTGGTTATGGTAATAGACTACAAAACAGAAAAACTCCACACAGCTAGTATTTCGGCGTTTTGAAAACTCAGAAGCACGTCAGCAATGTGGAAATTTGAAATTCGAATTTCTGGGCCTTTATGTCATTAAAAAGAATAGGGAAATCCAATTTTCTTAATTAAATGGCGATTCAGAAACTTGGTTTTTTTTCTTTTGATGGGATTTCTTGATGAAAATAGGATCTGTATTGGAATTTTTGTATATCTTCATAGCAACATGGTCTTCATGATATGTTAATAATTTCAATATTTGAACATGTAAACTGTTTTCACCAATGGTTATTTAGCAGAGCTAATAAGCTATATGAAAAAATGTATACATATAGTCATATATATATATATATGAAAATGTAAAAATGTACAGTCGAGTTAGTTGTAGATAAATTAGAATACTTGATCTTATCTGATGTAATTTACTCACACGTATTAGATAAGTATGGTTAGGTAGTCAGATCCTAATTTTTAGGATCTCATCATTTAGACTGTTAGACTTGTATCCTATATATATTGTAACCGAGTGATGGAATAAATCAATCAATTCTATTCTCCCAAACTTACAGAAAATAATACACACATATACATGAATAAACATTTATCAACATATCATTATATTTTTTTCATATTGACGTATTTCCCCCATGTTTTGTATTCTTTTCTTTTTAAATACCGTTTTGTTTTTTTAATTAAGATATTACCATGTTCACTTTTCACCTATAGATAAAGGTTCATTCATAAAAGAACAGTGAATGATTTAGAGTTTAGACTGAAGATTCTATAGATATATTGCATCCTCTACTCAATGTGGTATTCCAATGAGGTATAAGTTCAACCGTTCCAATGAGGTTCATTCAATTAGATCCCAATTCCAGTGAGGCATAAAATCATATTTGTGGGCATTTCACATTTCTGTGCTACTTAAGTGATAGACGAACAAGTGCATACAGATGCACTCTTGATGTAGAGATATTTTTCAAGTATAATCTGATGATTCGAAAACTAGTACAGATATCCATTATAATTTTTCCCAGTCACATTAAATTTTGGGACGCCACATTCCTTTAGAACGGTTTATTACTTTGTCTTTGTCTTCTCAGAGGGAAGTGTTTATTCACAGAAACTCAATCAATTCGAAGCAGCAGTCAGACCAGCTCATAACTGACCAAAACAATCTCCAACGAGGCAATGATGTCGTCACTCTTAACATTACAAATCACTCGACCAACATACATAAAATCAACTGAAGCAATACAGATTGGCAGTTGCTACTCATGCATAACATATTAATTTGCCAAGCATGTTAATTTCAATTTAAGAGGAAATGTAAGAAGATAAATTTAGTGAGTAAGCAGAAGAGAGTACTATTGTTAACCAAGTTGAAAAAGTGACTGATCTTGACATCTTTAATATCAGTCAAAGGGTTGAATATATATAAGATGCACTTATATAAGATGCGCTTACCGCTTTACAAGCTAAATGTCTGACTTTCTGAGATGGTGCACCCAGTCCAACAACAACGAAAGGCTGAAGAGGAATGACAATAATAACTCAAATTCCAATGAAGTGGTGCTGTAGCATAACTAACAAATGCATCAATTTTTTACAAGGATAAGGATATAAAGGTCAGTCTGTGCAAATTGGCGTCCCAGCAAAGAGTGTCCGGGGAAAGGTCCCACCACAAGGGTGTATAAGGGGCAAGCCTTTCCTTGTCATTTTTTACAAGAGGCCGCTCACAAGGCTTGAACCTGTGCATATGTCCTTATCATTTTTTACAAGGATAAGGACATCACAAGTCGCATATATTGATATGCACATATATATAATATTATAATACACTTAATTAATTAAAATATTAACAAACTAAATCCACTACACTACACGAGAAGAGAATAGGAGATCGGTGGACCTATTTCTGGTCGTCTGCTTCAAGCCTTCAATGAAGGACTGGGGGATGGCGACTGGATAGACCAGTGACTTCTTCTGCTTCCTGAAGTTCTACGGTTTGTCGCTGCGTCTGGTCCTATGAGTTGTTCTCTACAACTCTGCTTCTTGAGTTAGATTTGGGCTTTGTTTTTAATCAAAAGCGTAAATCCTTAATTAAATGAGTTTCCTAAAAAATTAAACCCTAATTTACTCATTTTTGGGCCTGCGCAGCGCGGACGGCTTTTCGACTGGGCAAAAGTAGGCGGCGACTTGTCACCAACTTTACGCCTGGACGACGCCTGGACGATGCCAACCTCGACTATTCTTCTTCCGGCGAGGCGAGCTTACCTGGCGAGCACTCTCCAGCGCATGGACGCCTAGTCAACGCCGTGACAAGCATGATCACAACAACAACATTCAAGCCTTATTCCCAAAAGTACAAGGGTAAGGACACATTGACTAAAATATACAAACAAGGGATCACACATGCATATGCTTCATTAACTAAGGACATTTTTATTCGCAAGATAATAAGCGGTGTTTATTAAGACATGTGTTAGTAAGTGGTGCATAATATAAGCAGTACTATAAGCACATGTTTACTTCACATGTTTTAAAATACGGTTTAACATTAAAATGCCCAAAATAACCCTATATATAGACACACACATATGCATATATAACCATGTACATATAATGTAATGTAATATAATGTAATGCACTATATTATAACGTACATAACGTAATATATAATAATATAACATATATATGCGTATATGGTTGTTTTTACTTGGACTCTAATTCGTCCTATACCAGACCAGACCATATTTTATTAATATTATTATTATTATTATTATTATTATTAGGGGTGTGCACCTGTTCAAAACCGGACTGGACCGGACCGAACCGAACCGGATATCATTCCGGTTCGATCCGGTTCCGGTTTTTCCGGTTCGGTCCGGTTTTCCGGTTTAAACCGGATAGTGCACGCCCCTAATTATTATTATTATTATTATTATTACTATTATTACTACTACTATTATTATTATTATTATTATTGTTATTATTATTATTCCGGTTCGATATGGTCTGTTCTGTTTTGGTCTGGTCTGGTCTGATCTGCTTCGGTCCGGGATTGAAATCATACCAAGTAAAACGATAACAATTTTCGATAATTTGGAAGGAATATTTTTATTTTTAATTATAAATGAATAAAATATAATTATTTATGTATTATAAAATATATATAAAAAATAAAATCTTTATGCAAAAAATATAAAAAATAAAATTTCAGACCAGACCAGACCAAAACAGACCAGACCAGCAAATTACAATCCAAGTAAAAAGATCCTATATGTACATAATATTGTATATGTAATATTATATACAATATAATGTTATTTTATATAATATATATGTATGTATAAGGGGTAAGGGTAAATGCGGAAATTAAAAAAACTTACACTGCTGCTTAATTAATACATGAGGGTGATATGCTTTGTAAGTGACACTTTAAGCACCCGTTTGGATTAGTAAGCAGCGCTTTAATCGGTCTGCGTGTTTACTTCACCTGTCTTACTAACCGAAGTGCGAGTCTAGCAGTGAAGTAAACACGTCCTAAATCTAGCTCAGCAAAGCGATTCATAAGATGTAAACTGTGAAGTTTACCTCAAACTTAGATGTTGCATTGAGATCCTACACGCACTTGTTATGGGACCCACATTTTTATCATGTCGGGATGGGAAACCGAAGGGGCAGATAAACCCAGGGTTGAGCACCGATCCAAGATAGGACCAGTACCAGAATATTCTAGGTATGATCAGACCGGACATGTATTGGGTCGGCATTGTATTCTTAGTCTTAAAAATATTTTCTTTTTCAATATATTGGATTACTAAGCTATTAATCTAAAAAAATTACTTGATGGCCTAAATATGTAAAATAAAGTTTAATTGGAGTTAATACTTGAAATTTTGAAATATATGTATAAGTAAATCAACATCATCATTACCCCAGTGGCGCAAAGGCTTCCACCTACGGTAGGGTAAGGGGGGTCGGATGTACGCAATCTTGCCCCTGTACTAAAGCACAGAGAGACTGTTTCTGGAGGACCCATAGTGAAAACCGCATCGAAAATTGCATAAAATTGCATGGGCTGAGTGTTGCTTCATAACAAAGAAGCGAAAACATTTTAGTGAGCCATTTTGCTTTATTCAATCATATTCCTAAGCCAAAGAATAGTGAGTCTTTGGCTCCATTGCAAATGATAGAAATATGTATCAGTAAATATATGTTATATAAAAAGTTTATAAATATATAAATAATAATTTTATTTCTCATCCAACCAGACCAAAATACTCCAGGTTTGGACCAAACTGGAAGTGAAATTCTTAAGAACCTTGGACCAAATGTTGGATCGCTCTGTAACATAGGAAAAGTGTGGTCTTGACTAACCAGACTAATTTTCTTATTTAAGCTGGAACTTACCCACAAATAGGTTGACCAAACATCGAAATATTAGAGGGAATCGTACCAATTTATAACTCCTTAGAGTGACACTAGCTAACCGGTTGAACTGAATTTTTTAGTATGGTTTCGTTGAATGATTTTGGAAAAGTTTGTTGCATATTGGCTAAACATAAAATAACTCTCAACATATAAGAATAACTAGCCCTCCTATCAGTTGAACTTTTAGTAGGATGGGCAGTCATGGACCATTCCGAACGGTTTGTGACAAGCCTTTATCTTTTTCTTGTCACATTTGAATTGGGACAGGGAAATTTTGTAACATTCTGTGATATCCCAAACCAAAAAACTAATATACTTATACACAAAAAGAATCTGCATTTTTTACTAAATAATATCAGCATTTCTACTGTACTTATGCACCCAAAAAAAGAATTTCTAAAGTCAATAAAAGTTAAGTAATAACCCCATAAATAACTTAGTGACTAGTAATTTGCATTCCAAATTTGAAAGCTACAATTTTCCATTGAATTTAGCAAAATAGCACAACAATCTGGAAAAAAATATCAATGGAGTGATTTATTGGAAAGAATGTGATGATTGTGATTATAGATCGTGAGAAACTCGAATAAAAACTCATGGAGCTAAAGAGTGATCTAAATAAAGTCTTCTCTCCTTGATTGGTAAAATTCTTATCAATTTACTCTATTACCATAAAGTAATAATGACTGGCAGCAGGGCCGGAGCCAGGGGGTCGGGGGGTCAACCGACCCCGCTAACAGTTTGAGAGTATAGAGCTCTCTAATATCTTCAATTTGATATATTATGGCCCCTGTAACTCATTACGAGTAAAAAGTTATGACTTCTGGAAAATCAGCACTATCTGAACGTAAAATCAGCAAAATTTGATACATACTATAGATTATTTTCCCAAATTTTAAAAATAGGGTATAATTCACTCAATACTTACGTGACACGACTCAAAAATAGAGCAAAGACAATATATCTTATTGCTATGAATGCCTATTTATCTAAAGTGCATATGAAATATTCAACTCGGACATTGTTTAAAAACGATTCACAATTTCCGTTCTGTATATAGGTTGAGTTTTGACCCCACGAGCCATTTTTCTGGCTCCGCCACCGACTAGCAGTGTAAAAAATTATTAGTAGTGTATTCTATAGTAATACTCTTAGTGCAAAGGGCATTTCAGGAAGTAAAAAAACTTTAATTTTCTTGGTGTGTGATATTCAAATTAGGAACTTCTTTAATGGACAGAAGGAGTATATAGTACTCCGTATTTTTAAGTTCCAGGATGAATAAGATGTGTAACTACTGCTATGATCATATTAATTTCACAAATCTGAATATCAACCCCAACCCAATTAGTAACCCAGTTTTGAGGTCTATCATGGTAACTGAAAGCCAACTTCACCATTTGTTTCTCTTTGATATTAACATATTTCTATGTGCAAATCTCTTGACAAACAGCACTCATGAGATCAACGGTAAAAAGAAAACAATAAATGGAACATATCACGAAAAAACTCTCAATCAATAGCGAGTTCTCCTTCACTTTTTAGTAGATATATCAACATCATTTGATATGAAAAGACTAGGGTAATCACATAAAAAGCAAGTTTGAGATTTCAAAAACAAGCAGATAGTATAGAATACCATGAAATGTGGGATCAGAGATGCTCCATGTTTAGTTCTGAAAATCCTTTCCAAACAATCAACCAAGGCGTCCTCCAGACCAGGATAATCCGATTTCATTTGCAAAACACTGCAAGGAATTGAAAATCCAGAGATACAAGTAAACAACTAACCAAAAGGAAACCTGATAAGCTCAGAGATACAATAGTAGAAGAGGTACTTCATAATGGCGGGCAGGGGGAAGCGGATGAGGAATTCTTGCGCCGAAGCATCAGAGCGCGAGCCTGGAATTGAAACATATTGCTGATAAGCCGAATTGATTAATGACAAAAAAAGGTAAATTGAAAGTAAATCAGCGCAAATATATACCGGGATAATAAGCAAAATCGGTAGCAGCTTGCAGCAGCTGAGCTGCACCGATGGAGCATTCTTCTTCCATGATGGTATTAGAAAGCTAGAGAAAACCACGACACTGCCACTCGAATTTTCTGTGAGATGCGACTACCGAGGAGTCCCTATATCATAATCTGGAAGGGTAGCTCTCTGGTGCATTCTCGTTGCAGAATGTATTGGTGCATTCCAGATGTGGCAAAATATGATTGGATGACATTCCACGTAAGCAATTTTGTTTAGAATTTTTAGAAAATTGCATAGTAACCCTGAACAATAAATTATTCATAACATCTTTTTCACAATTTTCTTTCCAGAAATCCAATCATTCGCTTCTTCCTGAAATCCAATCTCGTTTTTATCTTCACTTTTAACAGCAATTCCAATAGAAATCTGATCAAGAATCTGGCCAGATTAAAAATCTTATTAAGATATAATTTATGAGCATCTCCTCCTTCATCGAGTAGCTGTCATGCAAATCGATCCAAGTCCATACACTCTGCCACAACTCGTCTGTCACCACATCTCCTCCTCCTCCGCCGCCAATCGTTTGACATCTTCCTGCCGCTCGCTCGAAGTTCCCCACTTCGCTCGCTTGACGTATGCCTCCACCTCTCGGTTGAAGCATGCTGCCGCTGCTCATTCATCGTCCGCTGTTAGGAGGCTGGTGCCGGCGCACTCATATATCCACCTTAGCTTCTGTCAAGGTTAGTATCTATTAATCATTTTAGTAAATTGTGTGTTAGTATGGTGAATTTTAATTTGAGAGGAATATTGATATTTGGTATTGATATGATCAGTATTATTTATTGTTAATTGGTAGATGATAATTACATGAATTTGGCCTATATACACTAGTTGATGGATCCTATTGTTGTGAAATGTTGTAAAATACATAAAATTTGGCCTATATACACATAAAAATATGACTGTAAGTAATTCATAGGTGCCTTGTTGATAAACTTATAAAAAGATGTTAATTTCAATTGTACAATTGTATGCTTATTGAACCTTGATGATGTGAAACTTATTTTCAATTGTGCCAAGCACTCAAGCATACCTATCAAAATGAGTCACATACAAACAAGTTTCTTTCTTTCTGTCATATTCCTAAATGTTTTGTGGTACTAAGATCAAAATTACTTATAAATCTTACCACAACCTAAGCACAAAACTAGGATACTAAATATATTTAGATACATGTAGCAGCATCTCTATGATCAAACTAGGCAACAAATATGCATATGCCTAAAATGGAACTTGAAAAACAGAACACGTAGAGTAATCTCTTTTATAAGAATATAGATATATTCTTTATGTGTCACTTGTCTACATTTCATCTCTCATATAACCCCTTCCAAAGTAAATAAACAATAACTAGCGTATTCATACACGCTCCTGTGTTTTAGTATATTTGTTAATTAATAATGGAAAACATTTTGTCCTGCACAGTGTTTTGGATTTTGGGATTAAATGTTCAGTGGCAAATGCATCTCATAGATTAAGAACTTAACTGGCTTGAGTATTTTAATCAGGCAGTTAAAGATGATATAGGTACAAGCAATAATCCAGTCACGTAAAGTGGAAATGATAGTACCAAGCATTTGTAAAAATGGTATTGTAACAACTATACATTGACAAGCTCCATGGCACATAAGAGTTGAGGAAGATGAGTACTAGATGAGAAGAAAAATAAACAGAGAAAAGAGAACTCAGAAATAAAGAGACAACAACAACAACATCCAAGCCTTAATCCCAAAAGAATTTGGGGTCGGCTAACATGAATCAATCTATGATATCGATGCCAAAAAGAGAAGGCGGACAAGAAAAGGAAAAAAAAGTAAGATAAAATGAATAAAACAAAGATACATAAATATAAGATAATAATAACACAAGAATATAACCAAGATAAAAGAAAAATAAATAAAAGAACATAAAAAAGCTAGAAGATAAAAATAACATATAACATAACATAAGAATAACATACCATAAGAATATAAAAAGATAAGGAAGATAAACGATAAAAGAAACAAGAGAGGAAAGGTAGACAAGACATCAATCGTCCACATAGATGTGCGCCCTCCACTTTGCTCTCTCCAAAGCCATACTCTCATTCAACCCAAGAAGACGCATATCAGTTCTGATTACTCTAATCCAAGTCTGTTTGGGTCTTCCCCTCCCTCTCTTCTCTGACTCTTCTCCCCATCCCTCAAGTCGTCTAACAGGTGCATCACTCGGTCTTCTATGCACATGCCCAAACCACCGCAAACGAGACTCCTGCATCTTATCTTCTATAGGTGCTACTCCCACCTTTTGTCTGATTACCTCATTCCTCAGGCGGTCTTTTCTGGTATGTCCACACATCCAACGCAACATACGCATCTCTGTCACACTCATCTTTTGAATGTGTCATTGCTTCACCGCCCAACACTCTACGCCATACATTAATGCTGGCCTAATTGCTGTACGATAAAATTTACCTTTCAATTTAGTCGACATACCTCGATCGCATAGAAATCCTGAAGCACTTTTCCATTTCATCCACCCAGCTCTGATTCTATGACATACATCTCCATCTAATTCACCATCCTTCTGAATTATGGATCCCAAGTAACGGAACATATCACACACCGGTATCTCCTTACCATCAAGAGTAATCCCACTGTTGCTACCGCTTCTACCTCCACCGAACTTGCACTCCATATACTCAGTCTTGCTTTGGCTCAGTTTGAAACCCTTGCTCTCCCATGTTTGTCGACATACTTCCAACTTTGCTTTAACACCGGATTGTGTCTCATCAATCAAAACAATATCGTCGGCAAACATCATGCACCACGGTATATCTTCTTGAATTGACTTCGTAAGTTCATCCATGACTAAAGCAAATAAGAAAGGACTCAGAGCAGATTCTTGGTGCACTCCAATAGTACTAGGGAACTCTGCGGTCCTCCCTACACTAGTGCAGACACTTGTAGTACAAGCATCATACATATCCATGATGATGCTGATATACTTACGTGATATGCCTTTTCTAGTTAAGGCCCACCAAAGAACTTCTCGAGGTACCCTATCATATGCCTTTTCTAAGTCAATGAACACCAAATGCAGATCCTTTTTAGTGTCTCTATACTTCTCCACAACTTGTCTAAGAAGGTGAATGGCCTCAGTTGTTGAGCGTCCAGGCATAAAACCAAATTGATTCTCCGAAATTTTCACACTTTTACGTAGTCTTTGCTCAACCACTCGCTCCCAAAGTTTCATGGTGTGACTCATAAGCTTAATCCCTCGATAGTTAGCACATTCTTGCACATCACCCTTATTTTTAAATAAGGGAATGAGAGTACTCTTCCGCCAACTCATTAACATTTTGTTGTTTCTCCAAATCATGTTGAAGAAACGTGTTAGCCACTCGATGCCTTTCTCTCCCAAACTTCTCCAAGCCTCGATCGGTATGCCATCTGGGCCCACTGCTTTCTTCCGGCCCATTTTTCTCATAGCCTCTTTAACTTCTGTTGTTTGAATCCTTCTCACGAAGTCCCTATTTACCATACACTCAGGTATAGTAAGATCATCAATACCTTGGACTTTATTCCCGTTGAACAAGGTATCAAAGTATGACCTCCACCTCTCTTTTATTTCTTCATCGTCCATTAGTACCCTTTGATCGACATCCTTCACACACTTAACTTTTCCGATATCTTGAGTCCTACGGTCACGAAGGCGAGCAAGTCTGTAGATATCTTTTTCTCCTTCCTTAGAGTCCAACTTTACATACAATTCCTTATTCACTTTTCCTTTGGCTTCCTTCACAGCTTTCTTTGCTCTTCTTCTAGCCTCTTTGTACTCCTCTATGTTCTCGTCGCTCCAACTTTTGCCCAATTTCTTATAGCATTCTCTTTTGGCCCTTATTGCTTGTTTCACCTCATCATTCCACCAAGATGTGTCCTTTTTTGGTGGCAGACATCCTTTAGATTCTCCGAGTATCTCCTTCGCCACTTTGTTAATGGTGGACTCCATTGGTAACCACACATCATCTACGTGTGCGTCATTATCAATAGACCAAACATCTTCCTCCAACATTTTGTGTGCAAAACTTTGTTGGAGATTCCCCTCGAGCCTCCACCATTTTATCTTTGGCTCCCCTTGTACCTTAACTCGTCCACTCTTTTTACCTCGAAAATCAAGCACAAGCATCCTATGCTGAGTGACAGCACTCTCACCTGGGATAACCTTACAATCGGTGTAGCTAGTTCTCCAAGTCGTTCGTACTAAAAAGTAGTCAATTTGGGTACTATTAGCTCCACTTCTATAGGTGACAAGGTGAGAGTCTCTTTTCTTGAACCAAGTGTTCATCAAAGCCAACTCATATGTCGAGGCAAAATTCAGAATGTTCTTCCCCGCTTCATTTCTAGTGCCAAAACCATGTCCGCCATGGACACTCTCAAAACCATCACGACTTGGGCCCACATGCCCGTTGAGGTCGCCTCCTATGACCAGTTTCTCTCCCATTGACACTCGTCGCACCACTTCCTCAAGATCCTCCCAAAATTGTTGAGTGATAGATGCATCCAATCCCACTTGTGGTGCATAGGCACTAACCACGGACACAATCTCATCCCCCATTATCAACTTAATGCTCATGATGCGATCGTTCTTCCTAAACACTTCAACCACACCGTCAACATAATCATGTGCCACCATAATGCCTACTCCATTTCTGTTCCTCTCTCTCCCCGAGTACCAAAGCTTAAAACCTCCGGGATTAATCTCGCGTGCCTTTTCTCCAACCCACTTAGTTTCTTGCATGCACATTATGCTGATATTTCTCCTCTTCATAACCTCAGCTATCTCAGATGATCTTCCCGTAAGAGAGCCAACATTCCATGTCCCACAGCGCAATCTAACACCCTGCCTTCTCTTCTTCACCCCACATCGACCCCCACCATGCCCTTGCATATTTGACACCATCCCCGGGCATTGGTTATATAATGTATTAGAACATGAGAAAAATATTTAATTGGAATGGTAGTCATGATGTTCATACTAACTTTTATCTTCAAAAAGTAGGAAGAATATGTTATTAGAA